ACCAGGGTCATTCTAAGTTATTCCTCCCCAGTGCCTCCTATGGCTCTAAACTGAGATAGCACATCTACATTAGGGTATCCTGCATCGGACTAATTTTGAGGCTTTCCTGCAGTGTAGATGTGCTATTTTGAAATATCTATTCTGGAATATCTTATTTCAAAATAAGTGTCCAGCGTAGACGTACCTCAAGTTACCTAAGCATATGTCTAACTTTAAGCATGAGAGTAGTCCAACTGAAGTCAGTTAAGTATCTTGCTCAATTGGGGCTATATTGACTGTGCATCTCATAAATATGTTATGTAACAATACTGTGCACTGGTACAGCATTGTAAACTTTATAAACATGAAGTCCCATTTTTGATACTATCGAAGCAAATGCTCTGTCTTTTGCCATCTTCAATGAGAATAGGAGTCAGATCCTAATTATGTCTCTCAACATTCTGTGATAGGCAAATATAGCCATTTACAGGTGGGAAACTAAGGCACTGAAAAATTAAATGACTTTCTCAAGGTCTCACGCTGAGTCAGACGCAAAGTCAGCTATTTTATATTACAGGGTATTATTATTACACAGACATATGATTACACGGTGCCCCAGAAAGCAAATAAAGGCAGCATCTCATCTCCCACAGAGCTTTCAACCTAAGACAAATCAAGAACAGGAGGTGAAAACAACACGGAGCAGTCACAGATGGGAAGAATGAAGAAAAGACAATATAATGATGCAGTCACAGAGGAAACTTGTGTCTAGAGGGCTGTGATAGTGAAGATTTTCTTTACACTGTTGAATTTAATATATAGTCGGGCGGGGGGAGGTTATCATTATTCTTTATTTGTATTGCCATAACACCTAGGCTTAGTGTGCTATAAAGGGTTTATTGGCTTGAGTTTGAGATGGGTACATTGCTTATGAGTGGTCGAGCCACAACTGAATTATTCCCACTATTTCGAATGATGATCAACCTATGCCTTCATGTATTATGTATATACCACATATGTTATTTTAGGAAGATTTTAGAGAGGCTTATAAATAGCATTGGAATTACTTCTTTTAGCCTTCCACCTATAAATTCTGATGCCTCAGTTACTGTGAGTTCAGCTGTGCAGGACTCAGATGAAACTGTACAAAGGTCTAAAAATCTCCTAAAGTAGCTTTTGTGTATCTCAGAAGTGTCACAAATGTAAAGGCAGGTATCTCTGGCCATATCTAGGCAAGAAGACATATTAGTCCCCTTTGGGAAGCCGGCAGTTGTCTCTTCCAAATAGGATAAAGTTCTTTTTTCTAGCTCTGTAGAGAGCCACAAGCTATCAGCCATTACGGTGATGACATTTTTAAATATTAAAAAAAAACAAGGACTGAATCTTAGCAGTTCTAAGCTTCAGGCAGGGATCATTTTGGGGAAGAAATTCAGCTGTTAGAAGATGCTTGTGGCTGCAGAATGCTAAATCCAAATGGAGTCAAATGAACGGTTGAAGGAGAAGTGGATTGGTCAAAGGTTCATGGTAAATAAATGTATCACATGGCTCTGAAATATATAATGAGATTCCTCAGTATGTCGCGTGGCTCTCATTTCTGCATGGAGGGTACACTTTCATTTTTATTTATTGTATATATTTCTTTAGTGTGAAAGTAACTGAAGTCTGTAAGTCTCTTTTTAAAGCAGTGGGTTTTGAGAGAGGATGCAGCAGTACCTGATGACTGACTAAATATGGTATAAATATGGGCTTTGGCCTAACTTTAGGCCTCTTTTTAAAAAAAAATCTCAGCCTAAAAACTTGGAAAGGATTCCCTTTCAGATTGCAACCTCTTTGTCCTGTGACCCTGAAATAACGTAACACTACATCTCTGTGTGATGCTATTGAATCATAAGGTTTGATCCCTGTGCTGTGACGTGTAGAATAAATAGTAGGCTTTTAAAATGGCCATCTGGTTGGTGTCAGAAAGATGAGGGCCTATGAAAATTTGAGATGAAGAGTAGGTAATCTTCAGACCTTGTTTGTAGTGTACCTGGGCATATCCATTACTGGTAACTTTTTATTCTCTGAGAATTTGGGATCCTGAGATTGAAGATGAAGAATGGTCAAGTATTTTTCTCATTTTTTAAAATTCATTCTAAATGCCAGGTTTTCCCTAAACTGAATCTGAAAGGCTGGTGAAATCAACAATGAGATGAACTTGTTTGATAATTACCTGTAAAAGTTCCCTGATTACACAGATCCCACTTCTGATGGAAATCTTTTAAAAGGAATATATGCTAATGGACTAAAACTCCTGCATGTATTACAGGCTCCTGGGATGCTAAAGTGTTCCCAACTTGTCCTGCCAGATAAACCTAGGGCATTCCACCCATTTGCCCCAAGCTTTGGCTCCTAATCATCCATCCAACTGAGCTGCAGCTAATATTATGGGCACTACTGACATACAGTAAGCACTAGAGGTAGTCATCCACATGGACCAACAGTAAGTCTCAATCTCCTTGACACACCTACTCCCTTATGCTCAAGAGCCCAGACTAAAAAGGGACACAATGTGAGTAAAGATAGTTGAGTCTGAAAAGGTGCATTTATCATAATCATACAAATAAGGGAAATAGCTGTATTCTCTCCTCTTGGGCCATATCTCCTGCCAGTAACTGGGGGACCACACTGTGATGTTCTTAACAGGTGTTTGAGCCAAAGCCCCCTGAAAGCAGCAGGGGGCTTTCCATTGACATGAATGAGTGCTGGATCGGGACTAGATTTAAGATTTGGATCCCCTGTGCTCCCCATCCTGTTCCTTACTTTTGATGCTTATACTCACACTGCGTCTAGACTGGCAAGTTTTTCTTCAAAAGCGGCCGCTTTTGTGCAAAAACTTGCCAGCTGTCTACACTGGCCGCTTGATTTTGCGCAAAAGCACTGACGTTTTACTGTCTGAAATCAGTGCTTCTTGCGCAAATGCTTTGACGTTCCCGTTCGGGCAAAAGCCCTTTTCCGGAAATGTTTTTGCGCAAGGGGGCCAGTGTAGACAGCTCAGATTTGTTTTGCGCAAAAAAGCCCCAATGGCGAAAATGGCAATCGGGGCTTTCTTGCGCAAAACCGCGTCTAGATTGGCACGGATGCTTTTCCGCAAAAAGCGCTTTTGCCAAAAAGCGTCTGTGCCAATCTAGATGCTCTTTTCCGCAAATGCTTTTAACTGAAAAACTTTTCCGTTAAAAGCATTTGCAGAAAATCATGCCAGTCTAGACGTAGGCACAGTGTTCCTTACTTCTGCTGTGCAGGGTCAGGCCTTGAGTGCTGACCCTGAGGTGTCAAGTGTGCCCTGCACTCACATTTGCACTGGAGCATAAAAAACTGCCCCTGCCATGCTGTGCCCGAGACCAGGAGTTACACAGCTCTGTTGTGCTCACTGCCAGGACTTGCAGGATGAAGAACATTTTGGCCATTTTGAGAAGGGCTAGGCTAATGTAACAAGGCCTGGGACTGCATCATTGGACTCACAGAGGGCAGATGGAACAAAGAAAATATAAGGCAAGTCCCTGAAAGACAGGGAAGACCCTTTCCAGTGAGGGAGCCACACCCATGCAGGATGAAAGCAATGATAATGAAGGGAGCAAGGAACATGAGAAATGAACAAAGGAAACAAAGACTTAAAACATCAATTCAATAAACATATGAAGAACAATCTCTGTGCTCCCCCCATCACCCTCCCTCCTGTCCCATAATGTTCCCTTCATGTTAGAGCATCAATCCTCCTCTCAAAGGATCACTAGACCAAGGTTGGACACCTGGCTCATTACCTAGATGCTGCCTAATTACACTGATTTATTTTTTAAAAGCTATTGTGTGAGGCATAGTCAGGGCTGTACTACAAACTACTTCCCTTTGTACTTGAGAATAGCTGCCATTAGGTACCTACTGGTAATGGATTAATGAGGACTGAAGGTGGACTTTGATCTCAAGGAGGTGCATACATCTGGCAGCTATAGGTATGGGTTTTTTCTCTCAGCTTCTAGGCCTGGCCAATGGGGATGAGAGCTGTCAAAAAGGCAGTTTTCACTCTTGCAGTCATGAAGATCTTTGTAGTGTTATATCTGTTTAATTAAAAAATCAAGCCACTGTCCTCTCCTCTACTCCATGAGGGGCTTTAGTTTTCACACGTCCTTTGAAAGTTGTCACCTGTGCCTCTTCAGTGGCAGCAAAGGCTGGTTTCTCAAGTGTTCTGTGAGGCAATGAAGAGCTGATCAGAAATAAGAGCCCAAATCACAGGAAGTCACGAGCTGTCAAAAATTCCAAGGAACATCAGCCTTATTTAGATTAGCTTTTTTTTTTCTTTCTCCATCTGGTGAAACAAACATATTTTAATAATGGTGGCAGCAATGTTTTCATTGAAGTTTCTGCCTTGGTTTCCCAGGGGAACACTTTGGATGTGTGCATGTGCGTAGTAACTTGAGGAAGGCACAGTGTCAAAGGAACTCCTTCGTTGCATTCTTTGCTCTGTGCAGCTGGTATAAAGGCTTTGCAAGAAGTACTGATATGCAAAATATTGTAAGTAAGAGAGCAAGATAAAAATCACTAGAGCTGATTTCACTTCAGTGCGTTTTGATCCTGCATTGCTGTGTCAAGGCACAAACCTAACACTGGTGAGCTGAGATATGTTCTCCTCCCCGCTCTGAGCCCCAAGAGAAGGAATCCAAGCTGTAGTGATTTGATATATGCCTCCTATTGTATTCTGAGCCAGGAGGTGTGAATGAGCACCAGTTCCCTCCACGCTCTTGCTGAAAATTTGAACTCTGGCATTACTCCTACTATAATTACAGTTTATTCAATTTAGAGGCATTTATTGCACAGGCTCCTTAGAACAGCTTTCCAAGACTGGAATCTTTGTAGAACAGCTCGTGGGCCAAATTACTTCATTACAGAGCAAGGTACCTCCATCCGCATCTGTTTAGATTTATAGATTAAACCACCCCACCACACCCCCACTTCCAATTATGAACTGACACCATATAATTTGTACATCACTTGCTATAAAACTGTGTTTATTTTAAAGACAATAATTAGAGATAACAATTGCTATAGAAAAATAAACATCTGCTCAATGAGAGGAGAGAGTAATTAAGGACAATTATTGGTTTCCATAAGCAAGACACTCTGACAAAACTTATTGCAAATGCAGCTATTTAAGTAGGAAACATAGTGTGGAGAGCCATGGTCCAGAAAAATGTGGTGAATGGAACAGGAGCTGGTAACAAGAAATGAAATAGATGTTTCTTTTCAGACTTGTATTTAGATGCAATTTTACTAGTAATAATACTTAGAATTTACATAGGGTTTTAGATTTTTTTTCTAAGTTCTTTATAAGGATTAATCAATTAATCCCCCTAGAATCCCTGCAAGGTAGGTAAGTAAGTATTATCCTTATTTTACAGCTGTGGAAATTGAGTTGCTGTGGGCCAAATTCTAATCCCTGTTACATCAGTGTAAATCCTAAGTGACTTCATTGAAGTCAGCATTGCCATCTGGTGTAACTGAGTTGATTTAACCCCAAAGAAGCCAACGAACGTATCTGAAGATATTTGTTGAAAGGGGTAGAAATCTCACCATTTATAAACCTTTTCAAGTGTGTTTGAGTAGTTTGGTTTGCTATAGGCCTTGATTTTCTGAAGTGGTCTGTTTTAGGGGATGCACATCTGTATACATATCTGTGCATGTACTTTTCAGGCAGGAATACCTGATAAGATATACAAAAGCCAACCCCAGTTTGTGTGTGTAAATTTATATGCACAGCGTTTAGTGCTTGAAAAGTACACATACAGGTGATTACACACATTCATGCATACAAACTATCAGAGCCATATTCAGGCCCCTATGAAAATACAACTACTAGGGGCATGCCTAATATAGTTTTGCTCTAGTTTTAAGTCAGACTAATTCATTGCCAGTGTTAGGCTAAGCCCTGGGGTAAACCACAAACATTTGTATACTGGCGTGTGTAGCTCAACATTAGCAATTAGTTTACTAAAATTAAAACAAAAGCAATATCTTTAGTCTGAACAGACTCCTAAGTACTAATTCAACTGAGCAGGATACAGTTGTCTGGAATGTAGCCAATCCCCCTAACTACAAGGTCTGATATAATTCTTGATACTTTTTCCCTCATTCTTATCCTGCATGCCCAGGATGGACAAGCTGGGCATAAGATACAAGACAGAGTCTGTCTGCCTGCTGCCTGTGTTGACTAAGGGCTTGTCTATGTTGGCATATTTTGTTGATAACAGAACAGTGACAGTGTTTACACTGCAATGCTACTTTTGTTGGGAAAGACAACCAGTTTTGGCGACAAAATCTTCCACCCCTGCGAGAGACTTTTGTCATTTTTCCTCCCTTTATTGTAGACAAAGAGCCAGTGTGAACTCTGTTGTTGGTTTTGTTGAGAGAACTGGCTTCCACCAGTATCCCTCAATGCCGTCCCTGAAGGCTGTGCTCAGTGTTTTGTGATCTCTGCTGCCTTGCACACATGTGCCCTCCCCCCCCCTTTCAAAGTTCCACAGAGTAGCTGACCTCTGATGGAGCTGCTCTGTTTGGGGAATAAACAAAGAACAAATCATTGGAATGCTCCTGTTCTGCTGCTGCACTAGAAAAACAGCAGCAGGCAGACTGCTGCTGCAGGGGCAGGGCTGGAGAGACTGCTGTGCTGCTTTGACAATCGTTAGCATGGAGAGCTCACAGAGCTAAGCACAGGGATCAGCTCTGCTTTCCTACAACACTGCACTATGGAATGCTTACCCACATCGCTTTGCTCTGTCTTTCGACAGGGTGCTAGCAATGTGACCATGGAATGTTGACATTGGGAAGCAGAAAAACTTTGACCGGTTTGACCGGTTTTCACTTTTGGCTATTTTTGCATGTCGGCAGCACTTTTGTCACCAAACCTTCCCAGTGTAGACATAGCCTAAGTAAGGCAGTGAGTAGCGCCACTGCTCTGGCAAATTAGCATTTTCTGATTTTCATTATCTACAGAAATCATTCTGTCCCTGCAATTCCAGTCTTTGGGTTTCTCCAGAGAGCGGTAGCTGGGCAAGGTTTTGTGAGTGTTGATGTATTCATAGATGTCCCATATGGATTTGAGCAAGACCACTGCTGTTTCTAGACATAGAATTGCATGAACCAGCTCAACATTCCAAACAACCCTTCCTGAAACAGCTGCCAGAACATCTAATAGTGACCAGCACTTTTTATTTCTATTGTCTCTATCTGGCAACACTATTCCGAAGTGAAGGTCCTTCCTGATATTTCTAAGACAAAACTCCCATTGAAATCAGTCAGAATTTTTCCTGAGGTAGAACTGAATATTGACATGCTAGGTTCAGTCAGTTATTTCTAAGTTTTGTCATTACTTTGGGTGGAGATGGGATTTGACGGGTTCTAATAGCCATGAAGTACTTGACCCTGTGGCCATATGTAGCTCTTGGGCTTCAGCATTTCATTTAGAATGTTCAAGAACTTCAAAGTTGCTTATGTATTGCTTCTTTGAATATGCTGTACAGCATTTGTGCTGATTCATGTGCCAGAAATTATCTAGCATAAAACAAGCATTTTTATCCACTTAGTTGCCACTGGGGACTAGCAGTTAATAACACACTTGTTAATTTTAACAATGCTTGTACTTAAGGTGCTATCTGGACATAATTTAAAGTGTCCCTTCTCCACTAACTTGGTACTGCCTGTATGGTACTGATGTAAAAAAGCCAAAGCTGTCCAGAAGCTCTGAAAAAAAAATTAAGTGATATTAAAAACATATATATACATATGGAAACTTCACTAATATAAATGGGAGCATCTTTATTGATTTCAGTGAAGCTATGTTCATTTCTATTAGCTGTTTATCTTGACCAAAGATTTAAAAGGTGCAATAATGCCCTGGATATGCTAAGGCACTTCCCAACAATTAGAAAAAACATTAAAACAAATTGGGCAGACAGGTCACCAAGAGGGCTTCTAAAACAGCTCCCACAACTGGCTCTTGTAAGGGATTGCTCTTCAGTACTCCATGCTCACAGAAATTTAAATTCCAAGAAAAGGACCATATGCAGTGCTCATTTTATAGTCAATATTTTTGAATCAAATTATTTAAAATCTTTTCAGCAATTCAAGTTTTCCTAATACATGCAATTATCACTATTTACAAATACCACATTGATTCATTTTCTGTTTCCAGAGATCTGAACACATCTCCCCTAATTAGTGGGGCATAATTTAACTAAATTGCTATTTATGTTTATAATGCAATCATTTACATAATTGTTTTTTTTTAAAAATCAGAATCATGAAACACACATGAAGTTTCCCGTTACACTGGAAGAACAGGAGGACTCGTGTGTATTAACACAGAATGTACTATAAATACAATATTTAAAGAACAGTGTTATTTCTTGATTCATGATCTTTACTTGACCCTTTCCGAAAAAGATAATTTGCCTCCTATTGGCATCCTAGAAGAGGCAAAGATTTTGATATAACTGAAAAAATAACTGCCCTATTATTTCTGGCATGTCTCCCACCAGGGGCAGATGACCGTTTGCGGGGCCCTAGGCAGCATAATTCCGTGGGGCCCCCCCTTTGCCACGGTGCATGCGCAGTGACGCCATGCGAATGCGCAGCAGTGTCACGGCGCATGCGCGGGGCTTTCTGAAGCGCGGGACCCGGGGCGGCTGCCCCGTTCGCCCTGCCCTATATCCACCCCTGTCTCCCACAGTAGACAGTGGTGGGACTGATGGACACAGAAAGACTCTATGCTTTTCTCTGGTTCACTAGCTCCTACGTTACCACATTACACAGGGGACTTTATTTTCCACTGCCATATACCTTATGTTGTCATTTAGGCCTGTGCAAGAATCACCATTCTGTACTGAAGCAAAATGCAGGACAATGTAGCACTTTAAAGACTAACAAGATGGTTTATTAGACGATGAGCTTTCGTGGCCAGACCCACTTCCTCAGATCAAATAGTGGAAGAAAATAGTCACAACCATATATACCAAAGGATACAATTTAAAAAATGAACACATATGAAAAGGACAAATCACATTTCAGAACAGGAGAGGGATGCGGGGGGGTGTCTGTGAATTGATGATATTAGAGGTGGGGAGAGTGGGATGTCTGTGAGCTAATGGTATTAGAGGTGATAATTGGGGAAGCTATCTTGGTAATGGGTAAGATAGTTTGAGTATTTGTTCATTCCTTCTCGGAGAGTGTCGAATTTTAACATGAATGACAGTTCAGAGGATTCCCTTTCAAGTGCAGATGTAAAAGGTCTTTGTAGCAGAATGCAGGTGGTTAAGTCATTGAGAGAGTGTCCTTTCTGGTTAAAATAGCAAGAAACTGTTTTTTCTTTGTGATCTTGTCTGATATCTGTTTTGTGGGCATTAATCCTTTGGCGAAGTGTCTGAGATGTTTGTCCAATGTACACAGCAGACGGACACTTTCGGCACATGATAGCATAAATTATATTTCTGGATTCGCAGGAATATGTGTTCTTGAACTTATAACTCACTTGGTTAGGTCCAATAATGGTATCAGCAGAATGAATATGTGGACAAAGCTGGCAACGGGGTTTGTTGCAAGGGAAGGTATCAGGGTTGGTATTAGTGTGGTATTTCCTGTGGTTGTTGGTAAGAATCATCTTGAGGTTAGGTGGTATCCATTCTTACTGGTTTGGTTTTATACTGACTTCCTACTGATATATAAATGACTATGCAAGGTGTAAAGAAGTGGCCAACCAGGCCTAAGGTGCCCTTGAGTCCTCCTCTGGATTGAACAGTCATGCGGGGGCAGCCAAGTGCACTAAATCCCATATAGATGAGTTGTGTACACTGAAAAAGAAAGTGTGTTCTTAATTTGGGTTAGCTAACTCAGGTTAGAATAGCAGAGAAGACTTAGCGTTTTAGCTTTTAACTCTGTTTTGCAGCGCAAGTTCAGCCTTAGGCTCTCTCTCTAAGATTTAACGAAAGGTTTGTTAGTAGGACACTGTAGCATTAGGATGTGAAGTGCATAGATATTTCTCCTCACTCGTTCTCCTGTCAGCCTTTCCTTTGTATTATACAGGGCTAAGGGGGTTGTTTCTGTTTGGTGGAAAGAAGCAATGTGCTCTTTATGAATTTTCAGTGTATGACTTTTAATTATAAAAGAAGCCTTTCACTCACTTCCTCCGAGCTGAAATTAGAGGAATTCTTCCCTGCTGAAGCTGAGGCCAAATGTCTGCATATCATATAATCATCTGTAGCAGCCCACTTTGTAGAACCTGAATGTTGGTACATCAGAGTTCCTGAGTATCCAGGAATAGAACTAGGGTTGCCAGGTGTCTGGTATTGACCCGGACAGTCTGGTATTTTTTGCCTCCTGTCCAGTAAAAAAAATCAGAAAATACTGGACACCTAAAATATTTTCTGATTTTTTCCCAGCCAGGAGGCGAAAATAACGGACTGTCCAGGTCAATACCGGACACCTGGCAACCCTGCACACACTTAGCAACCGGGCCCAGCCCGCCCCTTCCTTCTTCCCCTCCCTTCCCCTCCCCTGCTGTCTGGTCTGGAGCAGGGTGTTTTTTAATTTTTTTAATTTTTTTTGTGCTTAATAACTCTCGGGGTCCTTTTTTATTTTTATTTTTGCTCAACAACTTTGGTCTCCCCCCTTTTTTTTCTCAACAGTTTTTTCCCTGGTGGGTTTTTTTTTTTCTTTTGGGTAGAGGGTGTTCAGTATTCTTGGTTAAACCATCTGGCAACCCTAAATAGATTGTGGAAATCCCTTTAGGGGAGAGTAAGGAGGGAGCAAAGTATGGGAGAGGGAAATGTTTAGATGAATTGTTTTGTGACCTTTGTATGCACTTGATTCCCACAATGTCACTGTCTCTGCATGGTCTCTGTGATAAAATACTGATTACTTGGCTAGACTGGGGCTTTCTTCCTGGTATAGCTTCACCGGCTCAAGCTCTAAAGATAGATTGGCAATGGCATGGTTTGCACAGCTGCATCCTGCCCAAATCCCAGAGAAGCTGTGCCAGTGCAAATTACAGCATACTGTCTACTCTAGGGATTACATTGCTGCAGCTGCACCAGTGGATGGCCAGAATCTATGAATCACTTTAGTACTCCAAAGTGGTACAAACACACTTTGAATTAATGAACTCCTTTAACTCTGCCTCCTAATAACTGGCCTGTTTTACTGTAGAATAGGAGCTGAACAGGAACCAATCCAGGGATCTTATAACAACACCTCTGCCATGGCCTGTTAGGATCGATAGAACCCTGGATTTTCTGCTCCAAATCCCCTTGCCAGCCACCCATGTTGAACAACTCCCCACTACGGGTTATCAGGAAGAATAGCCGCCGGGACTTTTCAGTTCCGAAGTGTGAGCCTTTACTGCTTGAACTAAAAGAGCAACTCACTTAACTACTAGTAGTAGGTTTTTATATTTTATGTGCACTAGCCACTAGCAGGCCACATACACGCACTGGCTGTGTCTAGACTGGCAAGTTTTTCCAGTGCTTTTGCGGAAAAACTTGCCAGCTGTCTACACTGGCCGCTTGAATTTCCGCAAGAACACTGACGATATCATATAAGAAATCAGTGCTTCTTGCGGAAATACTGTGCTGCTCCTGTTGGGGCAAAAGTCCTTTTGCGCAAAAGCTTTTGCGCAAAAGGGCCAGTGTAGACAGCTCAGATTTGTTTTGCGCAAAAAAGCCCCTATCGCGAAAATGGTGATCGGGGCTTTTTTGCGGAAAAGCACATCTAGATTGGCCACGGATGCTTTTGTGCAAAAGTGCTTTTGCAGAAAAGCGTCCGTGCCAATCTAGATGCTCTTTTCCGCAAATGCTTTTAATGGAAAACTTTTCAGTTAAAAGTATTTGCGGAAAATCATGCCAGTGTAGACAGAGCCACTCTGTCTCTTGCACTCATCCATTGTGTTACATTGGCAAGCAAAAATCAGAAGGAAAGGTTTAATATTTCTTTTTCAAATATAGATCATTCTGTGAATTTGCAGCTGGAAAAAGTGCTGGATTGGCAGCTCTTGAGTAGGGATGTTAAGAAGCGAATAATTAGCTAATTGTGTAGTTGATAGAATTTCTACCGACTATATGATTAGTTGATAAGGGAGGGAGTCTCAGTCCTGGATTGTGCTGGGCCCAGGAGCTACCCCTTGCTGCAACTCTGCAGTTTAAATGTAGTAGGAGCCAGGCTGGCCACAAACACTGATTGCTGATAAGGTAGCAGCGCAGGAAGCGGAGGGAGGCAGCACCGCAGAGATGGTGCTGATACAGAGGCAGCAAGGGGAGGGGGAATATGAGTAGTCAACATGACTAATCAATAAGTTTAGGCTTATTGGTTAGCCGAACTACTCGCTTACGTCCCTACTCTTGAGAATGTTTTCTTCTTTAGAGCTGCAGATCCAGCACAGCACAAAAAGCACTAGAGCAACCTTCCTTTATTTGTCTCCCTATATATATAAAAAAAATTCCTGTGGGACAACAGAGTGACATCATCACATCACTCTGCATCCTACTACCTGCCTCCACCCTCAGCCGCGTGGCCTCTTCCCTCCCTCCCCCCTCCCCGGTGCTTGGGGGGGGGGAGCCATATGGCCTCCCCCTCTCCTCTCCCAAGTGCTCCAAGGGGAGAGTTGGGGCTGCCACGCCATGACCTTGGCCTTCCCTGGTGCCCAAGGGGGAGATCCAGGACTGCCACAGACTTGGCCCAGCCCTCCCAGTGGCCGGGGGAGGTGAGGGGAGAGCCGGGGGATTGGCAAATATAATGAGCAGGGAGTGCAGCCCCCTACTATTTTTAAATTTCGCTTAGAGGGAGAGAGAGTAATTCCAATGCTCTCAAATATGTGTAACCCTTCTGCCAGGACAAGTTAATTGCATCAAAGGCCGGGTTCAATGTCTAGAGGTCTCCTCCCAACAACATAATACAACGCCAGCTTGAGCCCCCACCCAGTGACCTGGGAAATCTTACACACACTCCTGGGTGCCTCAAAGAGGCAATTCTTCCCCTCTCACAAGCACAGAGCCTTGGTATAGCAGAAAATCTTTAATAACACAAGGTAACCAACATCAGCATTGAAGTGGGAAAACACCACAACTCAGATTCATGAATCTGAATTCACGAGCAAAGACCCACCCTCCAGCCACAAATCACCCAAGGTCCCCAAAAGTCCAACACCCAAAAGTCTCTCGAGTCCAGCAACCCAAAAATCACCCAAAGTTCCAAAGTCCGGCAGCCCAAAAGTCTCTGCCCCGGGTCAGTGCCGCCCTGGGTTCAAAAGTTCACCTGGCAGGGTTTTACCTCCAACCTGGGTGCAATGGAGGGGGCAGGGGTTGATATACCTTATGCGGTCCACCGGTGGCTCCGCCTCTCCATAGGTTTCTGCTGCCGCCGTTGATGCAAATCACTCTGCCACACTCCACCTGCTGTCCTGTGAGCCACTCCAGCTGTTCCACAGAGCAGCGTCTGCTCCTCCAGCCCGCCTTGGTCCACGCTCCTCGGGCACCAGCTGGTAGGTCCCACAGCTGCTCCACCAGCCACCCATCAGTCATCCCCACCAGCAGCTCACCTGCATCCACCAGTCATCCCCTCAAATTGCTCTGCTAGCTGTCCCACAATCTGCTTTGCTAGTAGCTCAGCAACAGTGATTTCAGCTCACAGTAAATTTCAACTCTTCAGCAGTATGGCACCAGGCTCCCCTCAGTACACAGTGATTTCAGCTCACAGTAGAAGAGCCTCTGTGCAAGTGCACCATTGGCCCACAGTGAAGTCAGCAAGAGAGGAGGCAGTGTAATTGGTGTGTTTTGAGCCCTCAGACAGGGGCCCCCACCATCAGATACAAAGACCTATCCCCAGCCTCTCTCAGTCTGACTGGGTTTGGAACCCATGCCCTTTGTCTAGCGAGTGCTACTTAGTTATGGCGAAACAGTTCCACTATTTGATTCACATAATCAGGGTATCAACACTTTATCTTCCCTGCCTCAATAACAGAGAAACTTGAGATCCCACAGTGGCCAAAGTGACCATTTGGCTGCTGAGAGCACATACTAGGCAGGATGGGCATGCCTATGCAAATGAATCAGCCCCTGAAGTCTTTTTGCATCACTTGCCACAGTTCACCCCCAGATGTCAGGGCTTATCCTGACCCTGACTTGCCACAGTTCACCAACAGATGTCAGGGTAGAGCTTATCCTGACCCTGCTTACATATGTAAGGCCTAATTCTGTTCTCGTACTCCAGTGTAAATTTTGAGAAATTCCTTGAAGTAAATTGAGTTAACCCAATGTGAAACCAGTGTGAAAGTACAATCCGGCCCATTGTTGTGGTTTGTACAAGATGTGTAGTGTTTCTCAGTGTTTAACATTTATTAATGGAGTAAATATGAGATAGGCCACGACTAAAAAGTTGAATTAGTAATTTCAGAATAATTTTCTAGTGTAGACATGGCCATAAAGATTTACCCAAGCCCTAGCTGCCAGTTGTAAAGCCGACTTGAGTTTTGTCTTGCCAGTAATTACAATACCACCATTTAAACTTTTGGTCACATGCTTTCTGTTCCACCTTTCCATGAAGGTCACATTTTTAGTCACTTTACTTTGGCCAGAATGGTGAGCAAGTTGCTGACCTTTTTTCATTTTTCACAAGGAGAAAGAAAGACTCTCTTCTCCATCATCCTTATTTACTCCCTGAAGTAATTTCTGAATTCCATGTCAACCAATCTATCCATTTACTGGTTTTCTTCCAAAAACCCCATGCATCTGTTGATGAGAAAAGACTGTATTCTCTGGATGTCAGATAGAACTGGCATTCTACCTGCAAAGGGTCAAACTAATCAGAATATCACCAAGATTATTTATCACTATAGCAGAAAGGCCACGAGGAAAAATATTTTCTCAGAGAATCTCTAAATGGATTTCTGGTTGCATCATTATGTGCTACCCAGCAGCACATATCCCTCCCCAAAAAGGAGTAAGGGTTCCCTCCACAAGAGCACAAGCTGCCTCCACAGAAGGTACCAATACTGGACAGCTACCTGGAGTTCCATTCACAAAATATTATTTATGTATTTACGTGCTAGTTCGGGTCTCCTCTGCAGATGTGGCTGTAGGGACTGCAGTTCTTCAAGCATCTTTATTGACTGAAACCTTGCCCTCCCCCTCTAGTTTGTATATTGCTTGGCAATCATCCAGAAGTGGAATACACTCAGCTTTGGTCTGCACTAGAGAGGGAGATATTCATAATGGGCTGGTTGTTTCAAAATCTATATTCCTGCTTTCCTTGGGGAATAACACTTATTTTGAAATAGCTGTAGTGTGGATGCTCCTCTGCTGCTAATTCAAAATAACTACTCCCAGAGTAATCCGATATAATTACTCCCCAGTGCTTCCTGGGGCTCTACGTTGAGGTAGTGCACCCACAGTAAGAGAGCCTGACTCGGACTAATTTGGAGCCTCCCCCGTAGCGAGGAGATGCTTTTTCAATTTTCTTATTTTGGGAGTTATTATTTCGAATTTAGTTATTTTGAAATAATGTCCTAGTGTAGACATACCCTAAGAGCCTACGGACTTGGCTGTATGGCACATGTTGATCCATGTGTGGGATACAGATGGGAAACTCACATCTCACGTAACTCCCAGTGACACATTTAAAGTTAAGTCCTGCAACCAAGGGTTCTAGCAGGGGAAGCCTGTCCATATAGGCGAACTAGGCGGTTGCCTAGGGTGCCAAGTTAAATGGGGCACCAAATGGTGGTGCCAGGGCCAGCCTGAGCCATTTTGGCGCCCTGGACCCCAGGCACGCGGCGCCGCCCCCGGGATGCACGGCCCCACCTCCGGGCACACGGCGCATGTGCGGGCCCACCCCCGGGACACGTGGCCCCGCCTCCGGGCAGACAGGACCAACCCAAGCCATTTTGGCACTCCAGGCCCCAGGCATGTGGTACCGCCCCTGGGGCATGCGGCCCCACCTCCAGGCACACGACGCATGCGCAGGCCCGCCCCCGGGGCACGTGGGCGGATGCACAGCGCATGCACTGCCCAGTTGGCCCGGCCACCACCGATGGCACGCAACCCGGGGCCACCCGGGACGGGCTGCGCCTGGCCGTGCAGAGCCCTGAGGCCGCAGGGGGAAGGGCGCTGCTGGCCGGTTCTGTAGGGGTTAACACGGCTCCTGCCCCGGGCGGCCGCTGCAGCCCGTTGGGAGCCAGGCACCCCCCATAGGTTGGCACCCTGAGCTGCTGCCCAGCTAGCCCACCCCTTAGTCTGGCCCTGGGTAGGGCAATATCATTGAGGGGTTTGGAGGTGGGGGTGCCGATTGCATGATTCATCTATGGCACCAGTTGCTGGCAGCTAGTCTAGGGCCGTCCCTGGGTACTAGCAATTCAGTACAGAACCTTAGGGGAGTGGACTGCAGCTTCTGGTTAGTCTTTTGTCACTTTAACTTTCCTCTCCCGGGCAATGTTCTATGTGGTGCAACAATGCAGTGTGGTGCCGTGGCAATAGTGGGATGCTGGGAATCCAGCTACAAAGGACTCAGTTGGAAGATAAGCCAGAATAATTTAGTATAGGAAGAGAGTTAAGGACGATGCAAAGAGTTTATTCACTTTTTCTTCAAAAGCCATCCAAAGCTCTGACTCACACTGGAGGCAAGGGGAGATTAAGGGACACAGAGTAAAACCCCGTAAAGCCACAGCTGAGTAGTGTCCAGAAGTTGCCGTCCAGTCAAAGGAGTGGAGCCAAAGAGAAGTAGCAGCAGTTGCATTATAGCTGCCATGAGAGGCACCAGCAATGGTACTAATTTATTGGACTGAATTTAGATGTGGCAGTGCGATCTTGCCTGTCAGCCCAGCATGCTCGCATAGCTAAGCACTGGGAATTGCCCAAAGCAGTGGGCAGGCTGTTGCTGTACTTCCTTTCAAAGGGGTTTGTCCTTGCTGAACTCTTTGTTTCTGTGACTTGTTTATGTTACGTCTGAAAAATAAAGCTGCTTTGTGCAGTGTCGGCTCTTGTTCAGCTGAGTTTTGAACATGGGCCGTGTGGTGTTTACAGAGAAAGTTGCAACAAACTTGAGGAGATGGCAGAAGAGGGAGCAGGGGTGGCCTGTCCATATAGGTGAACTAGGCGGTCACCTAGGGCGCCAAGTTAATGGCGCAATATCATTGAGGGGTTTGGAGGTGGGGGCGCCGATTGCATGGTTCGCCTACGGCGCCAGTTGCTGGCAGCTAGTCTAGAGCCACCCCTGAGAGGGAGGGAACTAAAAAGATGGTGGGGTTCATTTCCTGGGCTCAAATAAGGGTATTTTCCCCATACACTTTGTTTCACAGTTCACAAATTATGGCTTACGGTCACATAAAAAGTAGGCATGCATCTGAGGACAAACCATTAGAATTAGTGGTAGAAATCCCATTCACTCCATTAGAGCCAGATCTTTGCGAGACACGGGCTGATATGGGTTCATTTGGAAGTATGGTTTTGCCCTGAATACTTACTGTGTGAAAAGACCTTGTGGGTCCCCCTGTTCATTGTCTCTAATGGCTCCAAATCCACTATATTCCGCTTATAAGTAAAAAATATGGATTTTTCCTCCTAACTGTAATCCCAGTCTGGCCTCTGAGAATTAAGCAGGATTCTTTCCATCTTACGCAACACCAGCAATAATAAAGGCTTTATAGGCCAAACTGGCTCTGATTGCACTGATTTGCATTTACTAGACAGTTCAGTAGATGATGCTCACAAAATAATAAAATCCGACATACTTTCCTGCAGCTGTTGACTCGTCACTGCTGATGGGAGTAAAAAGCAGTAAAAACTTATTTTAGTCCCTCAGGCAAGTAGATATGACTGAATACATGCAGGAAGTAGATTAGTTGAGTAAGAAGGTGTTTTTCTGCTGCTGTGTTTCAGAGCAGAACTATAATTTATGGAAGGAAAGTTTAGAGGTAAAGGAACAAATGCTAGTCTGACTCTAGTATAAATTGGGTGATCTCATTGGACTCACTCCAGATTTACACTGTTGTAAATGAAAGAAGAATTTGACCTATAGATTGTAATAGCTATTGATATGCCTAGTGCCAGGTACTGGTTGGTTTTATTTTTATTTTGTTGTGGTGTCATTTAGATAAATGGTAGGAGAGGAATTCCCACCTTTTCTTCCATGTATAGCAATACAGTGGCCCTGCAAATTATTTTGGGCCAGGAAACCATCATGGGGTTGCAATATTGCCTCAGAACACGTTGATGTTTTTGCATGCTGTAATGACATTGCATCACAATGTCCATTTTGTGCAGCGGGAGAGACTGAAGTAGAAAGGTGACAGCCCCCATGAACTGTGGCAGCACTGGAAGTGACCTTAAGCCAGGTCTGACTGCACTAGGGAGTTTTGCCAGCACAGCTCCGTTAATCAGTGGAGTGAGGAGTATGATCCCAGATGCATATATAGGTGTTCTGGCAAAAGCTCCCTGTGTAGACACAGTTATAGGGGCAGAACTGCTCTTGAGACAGATAGCTCTTTCTCTCAGTGGGGGCTGGAATAAGCCACACTGGCAAAAGCTCAATTGTACTGGTATGAGCGATGTCTGCATTAGAAGTGCTTTGCCAATGTAGTGTATGGATATATAGCTATTCATTGTCGTTTCTAGTGTAGACATGGGTTAACTCCTAGTGCTGCAGGGTCTTCTACAGCTTATTCACTCTTCAGGGTGAGGAGTCTGGGAGGAAGAAGGACTAATGGAAAAACATTAGCTTATAAGTAGCCAAACTGCCATAGAAGATGCTAACGGCAAAGAGCTTAATGGAGGATGTCTCTAACTGTTCCTTTTTCTTTCTCTTTTTCCTTGTTTCTCCTACAGGGCTTGTGAAGTTGGGGGTTCACTGTGTAACATGTCAAAAGGTCGCGATAAAAATTGTCAACAGAGAGAAGCTCAGCGAGTCAGTGCTAATGAAGGTAATTTTCTAATGGGAGATTTTGAGGGAGGAGGACTAAAGTTCTTGGCTCTGTGACTTCTGTTCCATGCAAAATTTATATCTTTAATTATATTTAACAAACATCCCCTGTCAGTTCTAGAACTGCACAGTGCATAATAATAATAATTCAGGGGTGGAGGAGGCTGCAATTAAAGAGAAGGCGTATGCATGTGCTTTAATTAAGAGCAAAATTAACAGCCAACCTCAGTGCTGCTGTTACTGCTGTGCTATGGCAGATGCATGTGTTGAGGTTCTAAGTTCCACCAGAGGGTGTGTGATGCCCATTCCTCTCAGAGATTGGACATGTGCATTCCAGCAGGAGGGCATATAGGTGAGGACATCTAGTCGGTTACGTGAGTGTTCTTACTGCTGTTCTGTTGAATGGTTCCTTCTGTTCTCTGCACCAGATCCTCATCTCTTCTAAATTGGTACATTCCTGTCAATGGAGCCAGGACATTTTAAACCATCTAAGGATAGCCCAGTGAGTTTCATTCCTGGGAGAACTTACTTAACAAATTGTACCCAAACTAATACCAGCCAGCTGCTTAAACTAACATCATTAAGCAATCTTAGATACTCAAAAGAAAAGAAACCTGCTGTTTTATTTATCTGAAATTCCCCCAAATCCAGCCCTGAGGTGAGCGAGTGCAACTCCATTGGATTCAATAGAATTGCACTAGTGAATTGGCCAATGGGTGTGCAGTTTACGGACCCATTGCTAAGCAAATATGGCACGTTGGACACTAGTGGAAGAACACATGCATCTTTATATGTTATCACTGTGGGAGGTTTGTTGTATGTGTGCTTATGTGTGGCAGGTATTTTCCAGTACTTGATAGTTACAACAACCTCTCTGGAAGTGGAAGGAAAATGGGCATTGAAGGAACATATTGTTAATTTTAGGTCCAAGCTTTAGGTTTAGAAAAAAAAAAGAGGGTAACATGAATTGAAGTATTTTCAACCTTTAATTTTTGGAATTTCAGCAATGTATTTCCTACAACCACCTGCAGCATTGTAGGATATATTTCCTACAACCATTACAAACGTAAACGGATGGGTGCTAGTCCACAAAATCCAGGAACTGAAATAGATTGGCAACAAAATTAAAACTTAAAAGGCAACTATACAGTCTATTTTCATCGTCTAAGAGGGGGAAAATGAAAACACGAACTAACTGCACACATGGACTGCAACATTAAACTAGACCTTTAATACTTCGATTAATTAGTAACATCGCTAAGGAATTTATTTAATGTAAATTTTATGTTAACTGTGAGACCCTTTTAATGTGCTGTGACTGGAATCAAAGATACTGTTTAGCTCACTGATGTTTCATGGAGAGGGATGAAGCAGAACTTATTACATTGCAGAGTGGTCCCTTTACTTTGAACTGATTCACTGTTCTGTTACTATGGGTCTAGTGTAAAACTGGACTGATGCATTGGTGCAACAGAACCTTGTTTCTAGGGGTGAGTGCTGAAGAATGCCACGTTCCCTGTGTGATTCTGCAAAATTCTTCTCTGCAGGACACCACTTATTGTC